ATAAAAAATAAATTTTTAATCATTTTGTCTAATTAGTAAATTTTGTTTATTAAGCTAATATATTTTTATGATAAATTAATGTAAAAAATAAAAATATAATCATCACTTAATATTATTAAAGGCAAAAAACAAAATTGAAACTAATTATATAAGTATTAATTAAAAACCATGACCAAAAATGAAAAAATTAAAATGGATAAATTTATCAATAAAATTAAAAAATTCTAATTTGCTAGTGATTTGGTATAAAAAAGTACATAAACTATTTTTTTATTTCGCTAGTGGTTTAGATCTTAATCGTTATTCATTAGTTCCAAACTACTAAATAAAAATTTTGATCGAACACTTTGTTTTTAATGGTCTCAAAATATATAAGTTTACTAAACACTTAATAGTTTAAGTAAAATCACTAACCATTACACTAAAACCGTTATACCAAACGGGTTCAATAGAAGGCAATTTTCTTGTATTACTTAATCTACTCCTATTCATTTACTATGTGACTCAAAATTAAGTCTTTTAATTTCTATAGAAAAGAAGTAATTATTGAGCGGTTTGTGTTATTGGCGTATATATGTTCTTTTTTAATTGCCAAAGCAAATATATATATATAATCTGAAGTTGATGGATGTTTGTTTTCTTGTTTTGTTTTATAATTTGAATTGAGTTTACTTTTTGTTCGTGTAATATGATTAAAGGCAATTTTCTTTTGTTTTTGCTAATTAAAGATCTTAGAAAGACCATCCATTGCTGCAACTGTGAAACTGTTTCTTTTTGAATCTTAAATATAATTCCTTCATTACAATGCCATTCGCCCTAATGAATCTAGTTTTCTTTTTTACTTCTTTTGATCGGCAGTCAGAATGGAGGGATTAGGCATGCTGGTTGAAGTGTTCTTCTTGTTCATTGGTAAGGAATGACTTCCATTCAATTAGCCTTTCTTTTTTCCCTTTTGTTTTTATGTTATATCTTGATTCTTATTTGCAATTTTTTAAAAATTGAAAAATATATATTTTTTGTTAACATCCAATCCTCTTATTTACTGTACCTAAAATCCTTTTATCACGAAATTCAGAACAAAGCTTGGTTGTTTAAGCACAAGAATTAAGCAAAAATATGATCTAATTAAAGTCAGCAAATGTATTTGCCCTTGTTTTTGTGTTATAATTAATGTGGATTAAGTTCATTTTTTATTTTATATAAACTAAAAGAAACTTAATCAAATTTGTACGCACCAACTACTTAAAAAAACCTTAATTAAGTCAACATAAGAGAAGATAACTTTTGATATTAAAAAAAAGAAGAAAAAACAATCTTCTTACTATAAATCATAGAAAGCAAAGTTATGAAATTCATTCTTTCTTCTAAATATATAACTCAATTATTGCAGTTCCACTCCTCAAACTAGACCTACTATGCGTATTGATTGGAGTGCCTTTATTGAGGTTTCTTTGTAAGCAATTACTTCCATTCAGCTTTTATACTTTATAATTCTTTTTCACTTCATTATATATGGATGTGTATGTTCATAGTTTTAATTAAGTTCAATTTTTGTTCCGAATTAAAAGGCAATTTTTTTTTGGCTACGTAATAGAAAGGCAATCAAGGATTGCAGTTATGAAGGTCTTTCTTTCTAAATGCTTGATATAACTCAATTTATTGCAGTGCCACCAGAGAAACCGGGTCTATCACTCATCCTGTTTCCAGTGTTTATACTGTTACTTGGTAAGCAGTAAAGTCTACTCTATAAGCTTTATTTTTTCATAGCCAGCAAATTCTAAAAACTTCTCTTCGAAACTTCTCTATAAGATTGTGAATTTGATTTGAGATGAATGAGACGCAGGAGAGCAAAGAGATCAACATGAATGATTCCACAACTAATAAGATGTGTTTATATATAGGAAAAGAAAAATATCTCTAATTTTGGACACTTCTATAAACAAACAGGCTTATCTCTTGGCCAAGTAGTTTATTAACTACAAACGTTTGTTGTCAACAGACTTGTCCGTTCGCGAATCGGGTTGTTGACTGCGAACTTGCATTCAATTTGAAAAGTTCCAAAACAATTATTGTAACATACATTACGTATTTTTATTTATCTTCCAAATCAAAATTTTCCATCCGATCTATCCTTGATGCGGATAGGTTAGGGGATTTGGTGAGCTTGGAGATTTAGTGGCTGTTTAGTGAGAATTTATGTTGTGAACAGTGCACATGAATTGTAAAAGAGATTAAGAATATAGTTTAGAAGAGGGAAAAAATAGAAAATAACAAAAAAAAAGATTTAGGAGTCACTTATAATTTTTTTAGGCATCACACCTAGAGATAATAAACCTTTAAACATCACTTAAGGCTAATTGCATCATACAACTAAAATTGCATCACACATCTCAAAAGAAAACTCTTGTTGGAAATTTTTGAATATTTTATTACTCAATAACGAAAAAAAAAAGTTACATGCTTATTTATATCAAAACTACTAAAACTCCCACTAGAACTCTTATTTTAATTAAAACTATAACTTGAAATTTAAAATTTCTAATTCAACTAGAACTTACACTCTTGATAAAAAAAAATAGTAAAAGGTTTTTAAGACTCTTAAAGACCTAATCCTAATAAAAGTAAGAAAATTAATGATAACTACACTTAAATAAAAATAATTACTTATAAATCTTAGATTATCTATATAAATCAAATAATTCTTCCGTTTCCGCTTCTTGTTCCTTATCAATCCCTTTACTCCCTTTCGTTTCCCCGTCCATTCTTTATTCCTTCCATAATATATATGTTATTATTACAATTTATAAAACTGATCATCAAGGACGAGTAGAACCAGGGTGCTAGTTGAGCATGAGGGGGCGCATGAGTGATGAGGAAGATAAAGATATCGAGATCCAGGCTGGGAATGGTAGGAGACAAAGTAAAGTGCGTGCTCTGGAGGAGACGCCCGCTTAGGAAGGAAAGAGATACAAGTAAAATGCAGAGGAAATTAAAAAAAAAAAAAATTAAAGAAAGCCTCTCGCCTCCCTTCACTTTCTCTCCCTTCAAACCAAATAAACTATTAATGTCAAATAAGACTTTGAAGAATTAGTCAAAAAAGATCCAAAGACTTTACTTGCTGCAAATAATATCTTGAACATACGAAAAAGTGAGCAATGAAGTCCTTCCATTAACCACCGTTAGCTTCAGTTAACTACGGGGTGTTTGGTTAAAGACCAATTTTTCCGAAAACATTTTTATGGGAAAGTGATTGGTAAAAGTATTAGGCTAAATCCTCTATATTTGCCCCACACATTATAATTTTTTGTGGTTAACATTCTCAAGAATTTTTATTCTCAAGAATTTTTATTCTCAATCGAATACTTTTCATAATTTAAAACTCAAAAAACCCAAAAATTAATAGTAAAACTCTTTATTTGTTCTTTGATTTTGTTGGTAATTTGGAGTTTTTTTTATGGATTTTATATTATAGAAGGTGTTAACCTAGAGTGAAAATTATAAAGGGTGTTGACTGTGAAAAAAATAATGTGTAGGGTGCAAATATGAGTTTTCACCAAAGTATTTGAAAGTTTATCATGAAGTTTTATTGAAATTTTGTTGAGTTGTTAAGTTTGTTGTATTTGGTAAGAAATTAATATAAGAAAAGTTACAAGGGAAATTTAGTGGGGAAAGTTGTTAACTAGTTCCACATAGGGAAAGTTGTGGCAAACTTTTTCCTTTCAAAAAAGTAGAAAGAAAAATTTATTGGCTAGGAATTACATCTAGAAAAATAAAAACTAAAAACATTACTTTTATGCTTTATTTATTATAGTTTTAAGATGTATACGTGCTAAAATATCCCTACAAAATCCTAGAAGGAAACATTCTCAGTAAAGTAAACCAAGCACCCTCTTAAATCATCCGTTTTGTCATTAAAATAACTTTGTTAAGTTGGAAAGCATGCAAACAAGCAGGAATGGTTATGGTCACCAAAAATAATCTTATGTTTCTCTTATTATAAAATGTTGTCTTACAAAATATTGATTTTTTTTAAATTTAATTGATAAAAATGACTAATAACTATAACTATTAATTAATAATTAATAGAATAGTTTTTTTTTTTTAAGTATAATTGATAGAACAATGGGTATTTATTAGTTAACAAATCAAAATTAGTCAAAAAAACTAATATTTTCAGATATTATTTAAGAAACAGCTACACCCTAAAATAAGCCCTCCTTAATAATTTGTGCCGACAAAATAAGACTAATAAAACTATACAAAAGCAAATCCACCGCTAATAATATGATTAGAACTCATACCAATTACTTTTTATTGAAGCGGCAAATTAATTTTAACTTAAAATTACATAGATATCCTTATTTGATTACTTTCCGTTCCTGCTTATTCGTTTCTTTTGATTATTGCGCACGTTGCTTTAGTTAGTGTTTTAATATAACTTAAGGGTTTATTTAGTATAGTGGTTAAAATTCAAGTTAAAATTCAATTAATAGTAAGTAATGAGTAGCTAATTACAATAATAAGTAGTGGGTAGGGGTTACCAAATAGCGGAAAGCATGTGATATATAGTAGATAACAAATTCGATTAATATAATTATTGGATTATATAATAACTAGCTGTTGTTATTTAAAATTAATTTACTAATAAAGATATATGTAAAAACAATTAAATATATTTTTTCTTTTTATATTTTTATTATTAAAATTATTAATTTTATAAAAATAATAAAAAAAATTATAGTAGTGTAATTATACACCAATTTTTATTTTTAATAAAGAAAAAATTATATTAGTTTTAAATAAAGTAAAAAAATTAATTTTTTTGTCTAATTAGTAAATTTTTTTATCAAATTAATATATTTTTTATGATAAATTAATGTAAAAATAAAAATATAATAATTACTTAATATTATTAAAGATAAAAAAATAAAGTTAAAACTAATAAGATAAGCACTAATTAAAAGCCATGGTAAAAAAATAGAAAATTAAAATAGATAAATTTATCAATAAAATTAAAAAATTATAATCCACCAGTAGTTTTGCTACAAAAAACTATATTATGTAACTTTTTCAATATACTAATGATTTAAACCCTAATCATTATCTACTAATTTCAAACCGCTAAATAAAAAGTTTTACCCAACATTTAGTTTGTAATGGTTTCAAAATAAATAAATTTATCAAACACTTATTCTTAGGGGTTTGAACAAAACTATTAACCGCTACCTCTAATCTGCTATACCAAATAGGTACTAAGAATTATGGCTGATATTTTTTTGATTAAAAGAAACTATTTAGTATTTTTTTATTAAAAGAAACTATTTAGTATTTTTTTATTAAAAGAAACTACTTTATAAATACTCTGTATTGAAAAAAGAAAAAGAAAAAAAATTTCAATCATCCATCATATTTTATATAAAAGTATCACATAAAATGCAAAATACATCAATTATATGGACAAGTAAATATATATGAAACAGGCGATTA